GCGATGAGGCGCATCCCCATAGTGAGACATCGAACGGAGTGTTATGAATGAGAACATATTGTTTAGTGGATGCAGTTTGAACCAGAGTAGCAGCATGGAGGTCGGATCGTCACCAAAATAAATAAATAAGTGGTCCGAAAAAGGTTAATGACAAAAAAAATACACATAGCCTTCCTCAGGCAGTGTGTTTGTACCGGGGACAGGAGACCCCCCCTTGATGAGAAACTTTAAGAAATTATCGGGGAATCCCTCCGGAGTGGAGTCATGACGACTGGATCTGAATTATGTTTTGTATTTGGTGGTTTGTGTCCCAGCTGTTGATCAGCAACTATATATCCATAATCCACCAGTTAAAGGAAATACAACTAATGTGTTGTGTTATATTAGCTGTACAATTTACCACATATGGTGTTCTTAGTTTCCATACCGCCTGTGTTTTACAAGCGACTTGTCAAGTCTTGGCAAACGGCATAAAACACGATTAAACATGTATTAAACATATATAAAACCATGCTCGTACAACCTATAGAAATGCAAAACGGCGTCAGTTTAGACGTAATTCTGTCCTCCTGCTTACCGCATCATTTATGAGAAAACATTTCATAACATTAACACAACATATTCCAGGTGGTTTTAAATAACATATCCGTATTTATTTATTTCTCCCAGTTATGTTTTTGTGTGCACTGAGGAGTCTCAAACAGGCGTTTGTTAAATCATTTTAAGATTGGCCTTAATCAATTTGTGAAAATTAATTCTTCATATATGATAAATGAGAGGTAACATTTTATTTATGGTATTATTTCCACATATTTCTCTCCATTCTTCCTTCTGCCAACGGTGTCGCAGTTTCTCGTCTCTCCCGTTGTTGTGCTTAGTGCGTACGCATGGGTTAGAATTTGCATGGAGGACTGCACATTTTCCCGCCAAGTTAGTATTTTATAAATCGCAAACATTGCGTAGAATTTTTTTTTTTAGCGTATATCCCTTTATAAATGAAGCCCCTGAGCAGTAGCGTGGCGTGGGAAAAATAATAATATGAGGAAGCAAATAATCTATGTCCTTTTTTTTGGGGGGGGGTCAATGTAATAACGTAACCAGATGAGTTATTACAGCGCCCGGTATCATTTGACAGAAATTTGTATCATACAGATGCAGGACTTGCACACGCCTAATAACACGCCTGTTATCTAACCGACAGGTCCGCACGCACTCTCCAACCGAAACTCTCTCGTCTTATTAATTTTATGCATTTTGTTATTAATTTATGCAGCCAACCCCCCACCCAAATGCATAAACAGCCACTTAATGCGCAGTGCAGATTCGGTAATGAATAAAAAATAAGCATTCGTTCACAAACTAAATCAGTTTTACGTTCACATCAAAGTATCAGTAGGCTACGTGTATGAAAAACAGTTATGTGCAGAAACACCACCTTCTCTTCCCTTCCCTCTCTAACATATACGGCAAGTGCAGCAGCACTCCTCGTCTCTGTTGCTAATGTTGCTACTTGCTCTGGGCAGTGATGACAGTACGAAGTTGATGCTATTTGATTGGAGAGAAGCCAGAGGGCGAGTGGCTTCCCTTGGCATGGCCCTGACTAATCACAGGTTGGCAGGGGCATGACGGTAGCCTCATCTGATTGGTCAATCCGTCAATTTTCTTTTAACCAAGGGATGACAATTTCGGCTGGCCTCCTCTCGACCATGACATGAGTGCAATCTACTGTTTCACCATAACATCTAGAGAAGCGCTGTTTCACTCTTTGTAAAATACTCAATGAGAATGGGGGAGAGATGGCAGCAACACACAGCACAGAAGAATTACCGAAACTAAATGAAGTGTTTTTTTTATTTATTGAAATGATAACTACAGTCCGAAAAAACAGGGGAAGCCTGGCTTCCCTTGGCCTCCAGGAGAAAACGCCACTGGTTCTGAGGTAGGAGACAATTAATGTTTAGACTTAGCTCTTACTTTAACTTTGCTACTGTACGTCTGTGCTTCCCACTCTGTTTTAATTTGACATCAACTCCAATAGAAGACTACTTGGCTTCCCTTACGGCTCCACAGTTGGCCTGACACTTAGCTCTGAGAACATCACTCACACAGTAATAGGTCACAAGGGTGTTAGCAACTAAAGGACAGAGAACATCACTGCAGGGACTCTGCTCTTCATTACAGTCTTATGATGCTAGTTAAGCTATTTAGGTCATCGCAGTAGATTATTACATTTGGAAAAACATGCACACATGGATGCCAGAGTAAGAAGAGAAGAAAACAACTATGGCAGAATGAATGTACTCCATGTTAGTTTGATTACCACAAACATGTTTGGAATGATGCTGCATCTTGTTACTATTTGCCTTTAGAAGAAAGAGTAAAATGCCTTACTGGTGACGGGGGCTGCGTTGTTGGGGGTGTCCGCCCTCAGGTACTGTGTGGTCTGTGTGGACGGCTGAGACAGGCCCTGCGAGCTCCCACTGTCACTCACACTGAACACACAGAAGAAGAGGAGAAGTTATCCAGAGGCACCAGGATTGTGTTTCAACAGTAGCTGGTAAACGCATTACTAAATGAAAATCCTTCCCATGTTCTGAGAAACAAGCTAGTTTCAAATCCAGTGATTTCAAAGTGAACATCACAACAAAACATGAATATAAGCTTGTGAATCCTGAGTCATTTCAGAAAAGAAGGCTGTAGAGTTCACAACAAGAGAATATTCTTGTATACCACAAGGATCCCATCATGCAATGTGATCAAATCAGACCACTTTGGCAAAACAACATTACAGCAACGAACTTTAGAGAGATTTCCATGGCAAAGAAGAAAACAGTCCCACTGTCTAACCTCTAAGAATGAATAAGGGGACAACAGGGGGAGGATGTGCTGATCTAATTCACAGCTGATCACCTGCAGAGCTGCCTGCAGCCACCTGGAGTGGAGATTACAGGAACCGAACAGCGTGGAAACTTAAGTGTGGCTTTAACGTGATATCATTCTTTTTGAGGAGATTATCTAATTTTGTTTGTCTTTGAACAGCAGAATTCTGCAGAAAATACTGACATAAGTTCAGCGGGGAACAGATAGGAGGCTGTAAATCTGCCGCTTCTTATCAGCTGCAGTTTAATACGTGTACAAACAAAAGAAACAGACCTGTCCTCCATCTCCACCCTCTTCATGCTGTGCAGGTGCAGGATGGCCAGGATGATGGCCACTAGGAAGATCACAATGCAGCAGACGCTCACACTGATGTAGAACACCTGGGTGGAAGTGGTGGGGGCGGTCACACCATCTACTGATGACAACAAGCCACAAATTATAAATCAGAATGGTGATGCAACAAATAATTCATTTAATTATCATTCAAACCTTTTATCTATAAATGACAGAAAATTGTGAAAAATGTATATTCCAGCTCTAATGGCGCATTTCCACTACAGGGCCTCGCTCGGTATGACTAGTCCTCGTTAGGCCAGGCTCACTTTATGCTGCGTTTCCATTACAGTTTAGTAGCTGGGGCAGTAACTATAGTAACGCAGTGTAGGCGGAGCCGTGACGTCCTCTTCAAAGCGAACCACAAAAAAACAACATCAGCCGTTAGCTGTTAGCACTCAGAGCTCACAGCTCCTCATATCTGTTCAGAAACTAGACAAAAGTTAAACAAGTACAAACCACAGACTGTCTGTGTCATGGCGAGTACAGTCGCTGGTTTATTTATGTCTGTGTAGGCCAGGGCTATTCAATTAGTTTGGAATGTGGGCCGGTTGATGAAAATGATCCAAAGCAAGGGGCCGGGAAAAAGATGGCTTGAAATATCAGCAATCACATTAAGAGCTTCAGGTACAGTAAATACTACAACAGCATAGTGGAGTGCATATATTGTGTTTAATTAAATCAAACAACATAGCCCCAAGGCCTTTATAGATCTAAATGGCAAGTTCAGAATTCAGAAGGCCTACATGTGAAGCTAATTTAACTATCAACATCATTTCATCTGATTTAATTTAGGTGAAATTATCATTCACGCAGAGATGCAATAAATGACAGTTGTCACTACAGTAGCTAGTAGGTGGGTTCGAAACCCGAGCCCGCAGAAGTTTTCAGGCAATGTCTTTCCCTCTATCTCTCAATGTAACACCCTCTCTGGAATAAAGTCACTCTGGCCCAAAAACAAACAAAAATAAATCATAAAAAAAAGAAAGTAGATTACTTTTTAACATTATACTCAAAGGGCCAGTAAATATCACCCCGGGGCCGGATTTGGCCCGCGGTCCGCCAATTGAATAGCCCTGGTATAGGCCGTTGTTGTGAGTGTGGACGGTCGGAGCATATACTGCGTTAGCTTAGCCGATCTCCATTCAGAAAACACGCATTTCAAAAGGTTTTTCGCCTGCCGTCTGTCTGCAGACTTGTAAAAGCATCAGTTCATGGTTTTTTCTAACCGGTATCAGTATTTTGTTACTTCGGCATCATTTTGAAACGTGCATTACAATTAAATCACGGTCAAATATGTTCATCTTGATGTAGTTGTAGCCCCCTTGCCAGCGATTCTCTCTCTAGTTTAGTACACTCAGCCTGACTCAGCCTGGTTGTTGGTCCGCTAAGAACCTCAATGTTATGGGGCCAGAAAACTGTGAAATAGTACCCGCTTGCCGGTACTACGCCAAGTGGAAACGCAACCAAAAACGGGTCGGGCACGGCACGCTTAAAGCGAGCTCCGCGCTGTAGTGGAAATGCGCTATAATTGCCTAAGTTGACATGTTCGAATGATTTGTTTTGTCAGTACAGAACCCACATATATTAACATTTATGTACATGTGTACATGAGAGGCTGAAACATCAATTTCTGACAGTATTGCATAATAAAATTACTTTAACAGTACATCCATTATCAAAATAATATGTTTTCATTGGAATGACAGTTGCAGCTCTAAATCAAACGCAGAAAGTTAGAAAATGGGAAAATAGAGCGTTGTTGGACACAAAATACCATAGTCATTAAAGAAAGCTTCCCCCATTATATGAAAGAAGCAGGGCACAGAGATGAGGTTGGTCAATAACAAAAAGACATGAGAGGGGGGGGCGGGGGGGAGGGGGGGGACTGGAAGTGCACCAAGGGCTCCTCTCATGGCTGATGGAGGCCTGTGGGAGTGAGGCTGCGTTCAGGGTCCAGTGTCTGAGAGCCTTTCTCATCACCTCTCTAAAAGACCCACAGGGCCCCAGGTTCCACAGGCCTACCCAAGCAGAAGGGAGACAACCCACTAATGGCACTCTGTTCCTGGGCCAGTGGGCGCACAAAGGGCCTGAATAAAACTCACTGGAAGAGGACAGCTACTCAAGAGGGGGTGGGGGGACAGAGTGCACTTCAATAGGAGAAGGAATCTTTCTCTTAGGGGCCTGAAAACATATACCTTGGTTATGGTGAGTTTGACTGTACAGAGAGACGTCTCAGTACTAAGACAGCCACTGTTTATCAGTGATAGACACTACATGGAGCAGAGGAAGAGGTACTTACATTCAGGCTGTGGATGAGTTTTATTGCTGAGAGGAAACTTTGGGTCAGAATCTATTCCTGTTCACAGAAGAAGAAAAAGCAAAGACAATGATATCCAATCTACCTTCAGTTGAATGACAGCCTTATTTTTAAATCTTGGATTCTGCTAAATCTAGCTCTACTTTAAATACTTTTTGAGTTTTGGTAGTTAATGTATTTGTACCTTAACCAAATGGAAATAATTTCCTTGGTTTGGTTGAAATTTGGCTTGTAGAAGTTTCCGAAATAGATTCTATGAAGAAAATCCATATCACGAAATTGGATGATTAGGTGAGTTTTTACTTCTGATCACATCCAGTTTTCTTTACTCATAGTTCATAGAAGGACAACCCGCAGAAGGCGAACATGGCTAGAAGCCTTTTTGCCACGGGGAATTATCTTCAGGTAGTTGGAAAAAAATATGGAATTAAACAAAACCACATTTGAACAAAAGAAGCTGTACATCTCAAACTGCAAATCTAGTGCTAAAAGTACATCCTCAAATTCTACTACTCTTTTGGTTGAGTATTTTATTTCATCCAAATATCATGTGTTTGACATTCTGTTACAAGTAATGCTTTCAAAATTATCGCGTTAACGGCGGTAATTAATTTTTTGAAATAATTGCGTTAAAATATTTAACGCATGTGCAGAATGGCCCGCCCCATACATCCCACCAGTGGCAGCGCTGGGGTAGGCTACAGCCATACCAAGAAATGGCTTAGCCCCAGCATGAAAAATGATGTTAAAGTAAGCAAAATAAAGTCCACCAACTCGTGCCGAGTATATTGCACAGACAGCAATTAGTAAGATTGATTTCAGTAGCCACTTGTCTGGAAATACCGAAGACTAGAAACGGTTTTGAAAACTTTTGTCACGTAGTGATCGTCTTCTCAATAGAACATCTTTGATAATGTCTTCTGGCCAATCAGAATCAAGATAACGGCGTGGTGTTGTCGCAGGAAGTCCTGACGGAGAATACTTTTGCTGTAGTACATACAACCTTACGTGTTGATAGAAATCAACACGTAATGAAATAAGACCCCACGGTTTGATGATTGATAGGTGTGTGGGCTGTCTTTCATTTTGACACACAGAACAATGTTATAATAAAAATACATACACACTGTATGTTAAATGGATATATCCGCCTTCTTTCATTTATCTTTCCATTCCCACAACAATATACATAAAGAAATGGCATATTTTGGACATAGTTCGAATGGTGATTAATCATGATTAATTATTTTTTAAGCTGTGATTAAAATTTTAAATCGTTTGACAGCCCTAGTTACTAGTCAACACAATAGGCTCTTTTCACAGCACACCTTTTGAAATATTCATGGCAGGATAAGCAAAGAAGAGGGCTCAGTGCTGTGCTCTCCCTGATGCTCATGATCTCTGCTATATCAAAGTCTACAGGTGAATAACATTGCTACTGATTAAAAAGAAAGAAAACGGGTTACAATACCCATACCACCATGTTTTGTATGCCTTGAACATTTAGTTTGTTAAATGCAGATAGCCAAATCTACCAGGGTGTCAAACTGCATTTGGTCGCATTTTGCAGTAGGATTTTGCAGATTTTTCTATTGGATTCTGGAATATTGCAGGAAGTAAGATACTGTATGTGGCAAACGCGCACTTATGATACTTACACATTTAATTTCAACAGGGTATATCTCCACATATTAACACCACTTTTATAATAGTTGGAGCTTAAATGGAATAGGGAGTAAATAGCTGATGTAATGCTAAAAAGCTAACTACACGCCACTCACCTGTATTCGCGTCACCATCGCTAAGCTTAAGGCGGCCAATGTTCAGTGTGATGTTGTTTAGTCGTCTCATTTAGTTTTTAAAATACGTAAAAGCTTCAGACAGTGTGACGTGGTTTATGTCAGAACAATACATAAAAATGCCTTGTGGTGTTAACCACAGACCCTATTTCAGCCACTGAACCAAAAACAAATTAAAAAAACATTGAATATGAGACTAGGGAACCTGGAAGTGTTAAAATGCTAACTCACTGCTAACGCTAAGAAAAAAAGTAAAAGTATGCGATCTGAAATGCAGCCATATTAACACTCAACCACTCTTGGGTGCTACCTATAACCATACATTGGTGAGATTATTAGCTGGTTATTAATATACTTACTTTTATAGCACATTTTCCTCCTCTTGAAGTTGAGCACTGTGTAGTTGTTGGCACGTATGGTCAGATTGAGCTGCACTGTTAACACAGCCTCTCCATCCACCCTGCCCGAACAGAAGAGGTCCACTCTGAAGACTACACACACACACACACACACACACACACACACACACACACACACACACACACACACACACACACACACACACACACACACAGCAATTAAATGTCTGAGATTTGTGAGATATATACTGTATATATATATATATGTTTATATAAAAAAATACAAGCTCTAAATGACTTTGTTGTCAGCGTTTCACCCTAGCTTATATACCAGACTACTTTTTGACTTTTTCTAGACAGTGGCATCAATCCTCTCGTCAAATGCTCAGCCAGGAAACTGATAAGTGTATGTCTGCCTCTCCTTTAACACTGTTTCAGCATCTGAGTTTCAATTAAAACTCCCATCTGTTGGACAGAAAACAAGTAAGGGCATGGACCTATTGACACAACTGACACTGATATTTTTCATACATGAAACGAAAGGATTATATTTGACGAACCAGAGGGAACGCGGGGCACCTCCCCCTGAATGGAGATGTTGCTTCGGGGTTCGTTCATGGCCACGTCGTTGTCCATTTGGAAGCCAAGCCGGTAGTCGACCTATAAACAAATAGCGACGAACCACAGTTGTCAACACACAAATGGGTTGACCTACAATAGGGGTGTAAATCCCAATTTTATCACCATACCATATTAAATCAATGCTTTGCAAAACAATAAAATATCTGATCTTAACTGATATTATAAAGTCTACCATTATTGATATCACTTGATATCATATTCCGATTCAACACAATCGCTAATCAATAAAAAAAAAGCTCTCTAGGAAAGAGGTGCTCGTAGACTGATAGAGTGATGTGACAATTTCAATGTTTTAATTTGTCAGGTGCATTTCAACGATTACGATCGATGTTAGTCATTGAATTACACCTCTACCCTGCAAGTGTGCACAAGTAAGCATGTCTAAGGGTGCGGTCGAATTGTCCAAAAATCAGCTCCTATCGTCTTTTCCTAGCCACTATTCCTTGACCTCTGTGTGAAATGTCACGGCGTTAAGGAATAGTGCATAGGAGAATTCAAGAGAATCCCACTGCACTTACACTATCAGACATATTAATGATGCACCAGAGGATGCTATTAATGTGCGTCTGCTGTAGGAAAAGTACAGTTTTCTGTACAGCGGACTACAGTATAAGCATCTAGACACTTTGCACTGTGCTCTTATGGTGTTTTTGTATGCAGGCTTTATGAAAGTGGACAACATAGAAACATATTTTCTTAATTAGGTTCGAACTGAAATAGAAAAGTGAAGTGAAACCTATGCTTGTCACCAACACTCCCCTCATCAGTTCCTGATGCTGAGACTTACCTTTGTCTTGGAATGCCATGAGAAGTGCAGGCTGTTGGTCTCACTGGGCACAGGCAGGGTGAAGGAGAGCGCGTAATGATTCACCACGTCATCTCGCACATAGTACAGCTCTGCATCCAGGCCTGTGTGAGGACAGAGGACCAAACATTTTACCATATTTGAGAGATTTTGTAAATCTACGAGAAAACACATTTTGTAATTTAGAGGTAGATTCAGACACAGAGCAAGCCTGAGGAATAATGGTAATATCCACTCAGACTGCATGACTAGATTTTGGGGATTTCCCCACAATAAAAGAGTTGGACTGCCCACATCTGTTAGTACTTGAGACCTCTTGGTGCCCAAGTGAAACTTCAAAAAGTTCAAGACAGGCAACTTCCAAATACAAGTGCAATTTTCTATCCAGGGAAGTAAATTGGGAAGAGGAAGGGTTTGGAATTCCTTAGATAAAAACTGACATTCAACTATTCAGTTTTTATTTTGTGTATTTTTGCTTAGGTACAGCATGTTGTGTTTCTTTCACATTCCCTTGAACAAAGTCAAGCCAATACGTTTTTATTTCACTACTGCATCACAAAAAGTAATGCAAGTGAAATGTGTGCTGGTGAATCCCCGACCCGGGGCAGTGCTATCAGTGCTCTGAAGCGTCTGTCTGGCAGAGCGGGGTCTGTCTATCAGGCCAAGAGTATCTAGTTTAAAGAGAGGGGAAGAATGTGCCCAGGCTCCCCAAATACCCCTGGGCCGTCTCAGAGCTGTGGCTCATGGACCTCTCACACATCAGCTCAATTAAAAACACTCTAGCATTTACCCACTCACATTCATTAAAAAACTGCTTCTGGTTGGGTTAAGAGGAATACACTTACATGTACAATTACAAATATAGTTAAACCGTTACTTAAAGTGGACCTATCATGCTATATTTGAAACATATATTGTAGGGCCATACCTATATAAAACATGTCTGTGAAGTCTTTTTTCAAAATATGATCTGTTTGATTTTTTTTTTTTTTTCTTCAAAATACCAAACAGATAACCCATCATACATACCCCTCTTCTGAAGCCCTGTTAGAGAAATGCAGATTGTGGGTCCTTAGCTTGAAAAAATAAATAAGGGGAGGCGGAGCTAATGCCTGATCAGAATTCTACCGGAGATAAAGTTACATTTGGTTGTGATAAAACGCCATCCTGTTTAAACCACGTCAAGGATTATTTCTGAAAAAGTATGGAGCTCAAATGCTTTTTCTCTTGCAGGTTTATCACAAGGTGAGTTCTTTTTTTATTTCCTGCTTTTGTGTGCTCTACACAGTACAGGTTAGCTCTGAGTGTTAGCGAGGCTTGCTAATGTAAACAAAGACGTCCAAAACACGTCAGGCATTGTTTCTGATAGCAACTTTCTGTGGGTCCGCTGCCGAATTGACGTCAGTTCGGATGGAATCTGTATCCGCTCGTTGTACACCCGTTTTTAAGATTTGGGTACAGAGGAAAAGAGAGAGGGTTTTATTTTCTGACGCTGCGTGAGTTCCCCGACACACCGGGGACACATGTTTATGTATAAAAGACATCACAAAGTGCATTTTGCATGATAGGTCCCCTTTAAACATATGAGATTTACTAGTGTTATTATAATTGATTAGCTAAATAAAAGACATGATCATTTATGTTCAATCTTGAAAAAAAACTCATTACCATCTGCTGATAATGATGTTAGCAGAAAAAGATAGTAAGTGGACCTTCAGGTAAATCGTTATTGCAATAGATATAAGAAGGTTATTGCTATAATCAAAAATGAGCTGAAAGAGATTTCTTTATAACTTCAGCACACAAAACTGGATTGGAGAATACTGTAATGCATATGACTCGTATAACAAAGTTTCTCGTGTGTGTGTGTGTGTGTGTGTGTGTGTGTGTGTGTGTGTGTGTGTGTGTGTGTGTGTGTGTGTGTGTGTGTATGAGGGCACACCAAGCCATTCACTTTAGCAAATAATAATTCATTTTCTTGTGCTCAATTTCTCCCATCATCTTTTTCTCAATATGCGGCTGCACAGTTTTTCACTATGAACCCAGACATAAAGGAGAAGGACCAGTGTGAGTCTGGCTCAAGTCTGTCCCCCCCACAGTACCATAGTCATCTTACCTAACTGCAACAAGTTCATAGCAGGAGCAGCAGCCTGTCAGAGTACACAGAGCAGACAGGGAACAAGTGTTCCTGAGGCCAGGGAGGCCAAAGCATGCAGCTTCAGCACCGACTCACACTCAGCTTTGGACTGGAAAACAGAGTAAGTAGAAGGCGTGCCTTTAAACGGGACTCTTGTGAAAATGTGTTGGGTCAGTGCCGGTGCCTCACTTCATCATCATGTTGTTTGCTACTGCAGATACAAACGCTCCAATGCTAACAGTCTTTCGTAAATGGTAACGGAAAATAACAACATCATTTTAAATTCCAGCATGATAACTTGGCAGTGTGTTATGTTTCAGAGATGATTTCCTGCAGGACATTTTCATTTTCTCTGCTGGTGTCAAGTGATTAACAATAGCCAGGGCAGAACACACTGTATCACCTGGGAAAACACTCAACTTCAGAACACATGACACAATATAAAAATAACAAGGACAGACAAAATAGAAATGTTTACAGTAATAAATCACGTTTTATACTGCATGAAATAAATAACCCCACATTCGTACGGGAAATACACCTTAAAATAAATCTGTTATGAAAGATTTTCTAATTAATGATTTCAGTTTTCATTCATCCATACGTGTCGTGCACATATTACAGAATCCAATCTGTTCTGCCTCAATGGCAACCATTTCTCATGAATGATCCTAAATAAGAGGTCAGCAGGATCATATCAATCAAAAACACATACCGTACTAACATGTACAGCAGTGCTTGTATACAAAGCTGCATAGATTTTCCCACACAGTGACTTGCCGCCATAACAAACAACTTTTAAAATCCGTGCTACAATGCTACTTTTACTGTTTAAGCTCGTCATGCACAATTACATGATGTGACATTGTTTAATGTCACATCTGGAAACAGCCCAGTGGATTCACATTGATCTATAGAAATCTGTTTAGCTCCAAGATATTTTAATTTAAAGTCAAATTTACTATGCAGGTCAGTACCTTGAGTTCAGTTTAGTAGTGTTAGAGTATTGGGTTATTTGTATACCCTATAACTCTTATGATGTGCTGAAGATTTTATATAGGAGGAACATCAATTTGGGTATACTTATTTTTGGATTTCTTAGATCGAGCACTATATAGTTCCCTATTCAGCATACCTTTAATTCAACACCTTATAGTAGGAAATTGGCGACACCCTATTGCTGACTCTGATTCTCATTGCAACTGTTAAATGTTCCCCCTACTCCAGCATCTGAACAGCTACACAACACACACAATGAATATAATGAACATTTTAGTCTATGTATACCATTTGTGGGAATATGCAAAATGTAAATTCTTAAAAACTATTCGGGAAATCATTTTGGATTCCCAGATGGACAAAGTCATTGGTTTGTTTGGAACCCTGGACAGCCTGCAGACATTACTTGAGTACCAGCGACAGGCCACTCAACATCCTCACTGAAGTAACCTCAAGTGCACACAGACACTTCCTTCAGCTGGAGAGACAGAGTTACTCACTCAATCTCTCCTTCTTCGTTTTTCTTACTGGTTCAGTCTTTGAAATTGGCAAAGATGTTGTTGCTCTAAAGCAGTGGTCACCAACCTTTTTAAGCCCAAGATCACCGACCTCGGCCTAGGTGAAAGGCGAGATCTACCTATTGCAGAATTGAGTGAAAAAGACGGCCCAGACAATGCTTCCAATTTGAGGCCTTTTATATAGGCTAATTGCATCTTACTGTTACAATGAAGGCTCCATAATCAGCTCACGGCATGGGTAAAGTGCTATTGGGGGGCGGACCTCATCTCCTCTAGGGGGGTCCTCACCTCCTCTAGGGGGGTCCGGGGGGATGCTCCCCCGGGAAGATATTTTTTTAAATATTGAAGTTGAAAGCATCAATCTGGTGCACTTTGAGAGCAACATGAAGAGATGTATGGATACCTCTCAGCACCCAACTGTAAACAGATTTTCTTTTTCTTTATGGATATTTTACAAATCACTCCCCTTTTAAACTGTATTCTTGTTTTACTGACATACTGTATAGTAGGCTATTTCATACCTGTTTTTCATTTATTCTCTTATTGTTTGTATAACTATAATGATCATATGAAGGTGTGCCGCGGAAATAATCTTTTGAATAATTTGTGACAAAACCGTTCTAAACACTCAAGAGTCCTTTAGCTCACCTGAGCCCCTCAGTCTGACAGGAGAGGACCCTCCTCCAGCTTGTTGTGGAAACAGCTCCTTATGTCCGTTAGTTAGTTAGTGCAGCTAGCTAACCAGATGCTAACATCACGGTCCCCGCTAGCACCGGTCCCTCTCTCCCTCCCTCTATCACACTAAATGCGCTATTGCCGCACACAAACAGCCGAGCTTGAATGACACAAGCACACGTGTATTTCCATGCAACTCTCTGATTGGTGTTGTGTCTTGCCTCTGTTGCGTAAAGTGAACACGGGAAATTACAGTCCTGCCGTTGTCTCTTGTGTCATGATGAGGTTCACGTAAAGCACGGTTAAATGTATTATATGAAGTGTCTCAAATATACGTCAATCAAGTGGCACCTGCTAACGGGGTGGTGGATGATAGGTTTACATCT